CGTTTAAAGTAAACACGGACACGCGGATGTTTCCAGGTAACAAGGTCACATATGGACTCAAAGTGCATCTTGGGACCTCTTTCTATAAACACTAATTAGCTGGCGGTTTTCTTACTCTCGTATATAAGTAGTATTTGTGCTTCCTTGTGCCTTTATTAGTGGTTTGTGTCCGGCTTCGTTTTAATTGCTTCAGGAAAAAAACATAAGGTGTGCGCAACATTTCTATTACTTACATCTGGCACATACACAGTACATGGTTGTTCAATGCTTAAATTTATATATAGATATACATATATATATTAATTTAATTTGGTTTCCAGTGGTTATTATTTTGAAATAACTCAGTAATTCCAAAAAAATATAAGATTATGCAATGGTTACACAACTGAAGGCTACGACTACAACAAAAACAACTAGTAGCAGTAATAGTATTCACAGTATAAATGATTATTTTAACAAAAGTAATCGTAGTGATAATCCTAACAGTATCAGTAAAAATAACTTTTGAAGTACAGATGAAATTATCAAAATCATAGTAAAGATAATGATCATTACAATTATTTTCATTATGATGATTAATATATATATATATATATATATATATATATATATATATATATATATATATGAATATATCTCTATCTATCTATCTATCTATCTATCTATCTATCTATCTATCTATATATATATATATATATATATATACATATGAATATATATATCTATATCTATATCTATATCTATATCTATATATATATCTATATCTATATCTATATATATATATATATATATATATATATATATATATATATATATATATATATACATATGAATATATATATCTATATCTATCTATCTATCTATATATATATACATATGAATATATATATATATATATATATATATATATATATATATATATATATATATATATGTATCATTGATACGTAGTTTTCGTTCATTAACAATGACATCGGCTGTTGCAGAGCAGGATGCATAACAGAACCCAATATAAGTTTTGATTTGGTGTCAAGCGTAATACAATTCATAAATATCATTTTTATTTCTTTTCATATGTACAGAATCAACTCAGAAGTGTGTATGTCCTCATGTGTTATTTCTGCTGCAATTACTTATTGATTATTGTTAATTATGTTTACTCATGCTTTTAATATTTGATTCATATGTTAGCTCTTCTGTTCTAGCCTATTTGCTAATTAGTCGTCGCTCTTCAATATCCTCGGCTTGTATATTTTCTATGTTGTAATCATTTCTATCAAAGACTCTTATTATCTTCTTTTAGTTTTCCTTTTTAAAGTACTTTTTTAGAGCATTATGATTTACGTATACAAGGTAGGGAGTATGAAGCCAATTTATAATTAACTTATATTTACACCAATCACAACATAACAAAAAACAAAAACAAAAACAAGTAAATCACCTCGTTCGCCCAAATATATTTACCCAACACACCAAAAATAATATTTATACTGAAATAAACCAATACTGAAATACAGGGTGACAAATAAAGTCAACTTACAAATATACAAAGTAAATTATCAACCCGACTCCGCCGACCACCGTCTAGCCATAGTCCAAGGTCCATTCCTATTCGCCGTCGACCAGACCGAAAACCCGAACCCGAACAACCCCCCCCCCCCCATGTCTCGTCCACGTATTCCGAGTCCCGTCAGTAATCGGAATAAAGCGTGTCAGGTCATGCAGAGACATGCAGTTAGTCAACGTTCATACGCAAGTCGATGGGCAGCCATGCAATAATAATAATGATGATAATGCACACACACACACACACACACACACACACACACACACTCACACACACACACACACACACACACACACACAAATATATATATATATATATATATATATATATATATATATATATATATATATATATATATATATTACTAGTTCAATTCCCCGCCACAGCAGTTGTGAAATGCTTGCACTCCGTCCAGGTATCATTGGGAAAGTCGCCGCCGTGACGTAAATGGCAACGCTTGAACCACGGTCATTAGTAAGGGTATCAGTCAAGGAAAAATGGTACTACAAAATAACCTCTCAGTAATTAATTGAAAGAGATCTAAGTCCTGCAGTGGAATGAATGACTGATGAACATTCGAAATATAAGTATATATGTGTATATGTATTATATATACATACATATAAGCAGATATATATGTATACATATATACACAAATGTATTATATATATATACACAAATGTATGTGTGCGTGTACATATATATATATATATATATATATATATATATATATATATATATATATATATATATATATATATATATATATATATATATATATATATATATATTGGGGGCGTGAGCGTGTGTGCGTGCGACGTGCACTTGTGCGTGCGTGCGTGTATGCAAGGTCTATCTAAGCACCTATATAGACCTTCCGTGTATGTGTATGTGAGAGTGAGTGTGCGTATGCGTGGACGCAGAAGCTATTCT